GCCTTCTCTCTGGCTGGAGGGGAGAATGAGGGTGAGGAGGAGGGAGCTATGAATGATCTAAGTATCAGGGAATGAATGCCATGATCACAGCTTGATTCAGGGACTTTAACCCAGAAACACATACCGGACAAATATGAACGGGTAGCAGCGATGGAGAAGCAGTCCTGGGACCTTTGAAAATCACCTGCTGGATGTGGTGGCACACACCTTTAATCCCAATACTCAGGAGGCAGAGGCAGCTGGATTTCTGAGTTTGAGGCCAGCCTGGTCTTCATAGTGTGTTCTAGGACAGCCAGAATCACACAGAGAGACCCTGTCTTGAAAAACCAAAAAAAAGGAAAAAGAAAGAAAATCACCTGGCCATGAGCTCTATGTTGTGACCGAAGGTGGGAGCCAAGAACCATGGGGAGCAAAGGGGAGAGGACTTAGCTGATCCAGAAGAAATGTAGGTCAACAGCTATGCCACTCCTGGGCATTCACCAATACCCCAAGTCAGTGCCTCCAGAGATACGTGAACATCAGTGTTTACTGTAGCACAATTCACAGTAGCTAAGTTATAAAAACAAGCTACATGTCCACCAACCGAGGAATGGTGTGGTTTAGAGACTGATGATTTCTTTTTAGCCCTAAGGAAGAATGGAGTTGTATCATTTGTCGGAAAACAGATGCACCTGGAGCTACCATGTTAAGTGTGTCTGAGAAAAACAGGTATCACAGGCTTTCGCTCACTCGTGGAGTATTAGGTTTCATACAGGAACAAAGGGGAGGACATGGAAGGGAAGGGTTGCTGGTTATCAGGAGAAAATGTGATCAGAATACATGTATATATCTACATGGGCATGGCCTTATGAACCCAGCATAATATATTTTTTAAATGAATGAATGAATGAATGAATGAATGAACAAATGATTCTGGGTCAAACTGGGGGAGAGGGGATAAAAGAAATTTAAGGAAAGTACATTGACTGAGTCCTGGGAAATGAATTTCAAATGTCATCGATGACCTGAGCTGTTGCTTGTCCTCTCATATTGTAGAGTCACTGCCCACAAATACCAACAGTTTCTTGACTGTTTACTAAACAGTTGACTCTGCTTGCAAATAATGTTTCAGGCCACTTGGTGACTTGCCTTCTAGTTAGGGACAGCATTTCCCAGGATACGCAACGAGGAGACCTATCTTACAAGTGAATGGTTTGTTTTGTTTTTCCCAGAACCCTTGGACATGGCTGACTTTGGAGCAGATGAGCCCTCCTCCAGGTCAGAGAGTCCTGAGCCAGAGGGCAGGGGCTCTGAGGACAAATCACTGCTCCATCAGAGGCTGGCCATCAGAGAGCTCATCGACACAGAGGTCTCCTACTTGCACATGCTCCGACTGTGTGCCTCAGACATCAGGAGCCGCCTACAGCAGGTACTGATGCAGCCCCACCATCTACTTCATAGGAGCAGGTGTGGGCTGCCTCCAAGATCTCTTATTCCTGTGAGGGCTTGTTGGAAAGGCCCCTTGGTGGGTGGGAGCCTGACCAGCCTGGAGGTAAGCCCCAGGACTTTATTTATTGTCCACGAAAACTTCAGTAAGGCCTTGAATGACTTAGACGTGTCTAACTTGTAGCCTATTAGCCATACGAGGCCAAGTATAGCTGTGAACTTAGCCCAACATAAAATAGTAAACTTACTTAAAACAGTATAAAAATATTATTGTTGTATTCTTTTGTAACTTGATTTTATAGTTTTTTTAAAAGATTTATTTTTATGCATATGAGTGTGTGCTATGTTTGTGTATTCCCTTTGTGTGCCTGGTACCTGAGGAGGCCAGAGAGGATGTGGGAATCCCAGGAGCCAGAGTTACAGATGGTTGTGAGCCTCCATGTGGGTGCTAGGATGCTGGGTCCTCTGCAAGAAGAGAAAGTGTTCAATTAAATGAGGTATTGGATAGACAAAAAGGGAGCAATAAGCAGGCTGTAAAATCTTGAAGTTAGCTTCCAATAACCTATTTCTTCTAGCAAGACGTGCCTCCTAAAGGTCCCATAGCCTTTCCAAATAATGTCCCCAACTGGGGAAGAAGCGTTTAAACCCACGAGCCTATGAGAACATTTCACATTCAAATCACAACACTAACCCCTGCCCACCTGCAACTAACTCACAAGATTTCCAAATCTTTCCAAACATTGCATTGGGCAGTCTTCCCACCAGCAGTAGGACCCCAGACAGCATGAATGCTCAGGACTGTTCCCTAAAGCTGTTCCCTCAGGACTGTTCCCTTTCGGATCTCCAGTCTCAGCCTTTTTTGTTGCTTCCAGCTGCCACCAGGAGATCTGGATGTCCTGTTCTCAAACATTGATGACATCATCCAAGTGAGCGGCAGATTCCTTCAGGGGCTGCAGGAGACAGCCTGCAGGGAAGAGGAACAAGTGCACCTGATTGGTAAGCAGAAGTCCGGTGCCAGTGGCCTTGCTTTTCCTTGCCTTTGTCCTCAGCTCGTGCTCCACAGCTCCAGGGAAAAGCAGCAAAGGGGAGTTAGGCATGTCAGAGGCAGCAGGGCCCTCATGGAGAAAGCTTGTAACACAGGAACTTGGGAGGATGTGTTGAAACCACAGTGCCTCCTAGTTTAGTCTCAGCATGGTACTGATTTATCTTTATTTTTATATGTATGAATGTTTTTGCCTGCATGCATGTCTGTGCACCACTTGAGTGCCCGGTGCCTGTGGGGGTCCAGAAGGCATTGAATCCCCTGGAACTGGGGTTGCAGATGGTTGTGAGCCCTCATGTTGGTGCTGACAATTGAACCCACTTCTTTTCCTTAAAGATTTTATTTATTTATTATGCATACAACATTCTGCTTCCATGTATATCTGCACACCAGAAGAGGGCACCAGATCTCATTATGGATGGTTGTGAGCCACCATGTGGTTGCTGGGAATTGAACTCAGGACCTTTGGAGGAGCAAGCAGTGCTCTTAACCTCTGAGCCATCTCTCCAGCCCGAACCCATTTCTTTAGAATTCTAGAGTAGTAAGTACTCTTGACTGCTGAGTCATCTCTCTAACCCCTAGTTTTTCTTTTCTTCTTTCTTTCTTTCTTTTCTTCTTTCTTTCTTTTTTTTTTTTTTTTTTCAAGACAGGGTTTCTCTGTGTAGCTTTGGATCCTATCCTGGCACTCGCTCTGGAGACCAGGTTGGCCTCAAACTCACAGAGATCCACCTGCCTCTGCCTCCCAAGTGCTGGGATCAAAGGCATGCACCACCAACGCCTGGCTAGTTATTTTTATTTAATAGATTTTATTTCTTTAGAGCACTGTTAGGCCTATGGAAAACATTTGTGTTTTGCCTGTATGTATGTCTGTGTGAAGGTGTTGGATGCCCTAAAACTGGACAGACATACATACAGACAGGTGTGAGCAGCCATGTTGGTGTGGGAATTTAACCCGGGTCCTCTGGAAGAGCAGCCAGTGCTCTTAACCACTGAGTCAACTCTCCAGCAACACCCCGACCTGAATCTTATTTTTGATAAAGCTGTCTTCTTTGCCTCTTATCCCTATAGTACCACCCCTATTCCTTTATTCTTCCCATCGTATTCTACCAGCTCCCTGTAAGTAACTGGTTTCATATTTAAAGACACAGAACACTTTAGGCTATTGCACCAGGTCTGTTTCATCTTCTCGGTGCTGTTCTAGCTTTACTGTAGCCACTCTTGAAATAGAGCTTTCTGACGTGAGACCCCGCCCCCCCAGGCCAAACCACTCCCACGGCTTCCTGCCACCATTGATATACAAGAGGGGTGCCTGGCTGCATCCCACTTACTCAGATGTCCCATGCAACTTGGCTTTAGTGTCCTATTTGTCTCCTCCCCTTTTTGCCTGGCCCTCTCTGCTCCAGACACACCAGGGTCTGTGGCTGTCCTTGGGCCAGAGTCTTCTCACTCTGGGCCTTGCCGTTGCCATCCACAGGCTTGGGATTTGCCCCTTCCCCCAGCTTCCTGGGGCTGGCTACTTCTGCTCCCTGGCAGATGGCCACATTATCCGTGGAAGCCTTCTTCAAATAGACACCCTCCTTCACAGCCACCACCCAATCTTTGATGCTTATTGGCCTTCTCTTCGGTTCCTATAACCCTTAATCATCCCTTGGTGTCTGTAAAGGATGGTTTTCCATGACACCCCACCCTCCCTCAGGTGTTCAAATAAGTCCCTGGTATAAAATGACATAGAATTAACATAAACTTACTGAAGTTCCTTTGCATACTTGAAACTATCTTTAGACCCGTTATGACATTCAGTGCCATGTCAGTGGCATATAGAAGGTTGTTATACTGTATTGTTCAGGGAATGACAATGTCGAGAAAAGTCCTCACATGTTCAATACAGACACTCTTTTTCTTTAAAGAAATGTTTGACACAATTTAACTGTAGAACAGAAGACAGAAGAGTGATTTTTTTTTTCCTGAGACAGGGTTTCTCTGTAGCTTTGGAGGCTGTCCTGGAACTAGCTCTTGTAGACCAGGCTGGTCTTGAACTCACAGAGATCCGCCTGCCTCCCAAGTGCTGGGATTAAAAGCATGCTCCACCATTACCTGGCTCAAGTGATTTTTTTAAAAAAATGATGAAAATAGCATTTTAATTGCAAAGGGCATGAAAATTTCTAATGTTCTGTTAATTTGTGAGTCTTTTTAACCTGCTGACCATGGGGAAATGAATACTGAAATTACAACAGGCACAAAGCAATTGTTAAGATTCCTCAGCTCTCAGTGGGCAGACTGAGAGGCAAACAGGTCAAAGGTTAGCAGAAGTATTCAAGGTCATTTAAAAAATTGTGGCAAGTTCTGTCCTAATTCAAAGCCAATTTTTTAAAAATGTAACTCAATTTTTAAAAACGAAACTCAAGTCAAGCAGCACATTTTATTTACTTATTTTAATTTTTTATTTATGTGTAGTATGTGAGCCTGTGTGTATATATGTCACTTGTGTACTGGTGCCCCAGAGGCCAGACGAGGGTATTGGATTCTCTGGAGCTGGAGTTATAGGTGATTGTGAGCCACCCAGTATGGGTGCTGGGAACCAAACTCACACCCTATGAAAGGATGGCAGATGCTATTTCTCTAGCCCTCTCAAGCAGAAAAGTCAGGTATTCCATCACAATGTAATCCAAAGACACACTAATTTGGTACATATGGAATGATAGTGGACAAACATCTTAAGTCTTTGTTTTCTAGAACTAAGCATTCTGGGTTTTTTTTTTTTTTTTGGCCTTTTTCCTTAATATTTACTTATTTATTATGTACACAGTGTTCTGTCTGCATGTATGTCTGCAGACCAGAAAAGGGCACCAGATCTCATCACAGATGGCTGTGAGCCACCATGTGGTTGCTGGGAATTGAACTCAGGACCTTTGGAGGAGCAAGCAGTGCTCTTAACTGCTGAGCCATCTCTCCAGCCCTGATATTCTGCTTCTCTAAGAGCGGAAAACTTTGTACATACTGTGAGGACACTGCAGTGCCTATCGTGCAGTAGTCTCTAGTCTGAGCCAAGCTGTTGCAGGCAGTATTCACTGGAGGTGGTGGCATGATGACACACACCTGCAGGGCAAAGCAGGAATGTTGTGTGTTCAGAACCAAGGCTGCCAAGATGTTTCATGATGCAACATAGGTGGGTGTGTCCAGAAACACCTCAGATTCATTATAGGTCTGCTTTAGAACTAATCTCAGGTGCTCTGTATTTGGAAACCTTTTACTCTTCCCAAACTTTTCCAGACCCCACTTTCAGGTCTGCAGCCAGCCCCACCTGGGGTTATGACTTACAGTTTAAGAACCTGGATTCAGCTTGGTGCATGGTGCATGGTGCATTCAGATGGTGCATGCCTTTAATCCCAGAATTTGGGAGGCAGAGGCAAGTGGCTCTCTGTGAGTTAGATGCCAGCCTTGTCTATAAAGTGAGTTCCAGGACAGCCAAGACTGAGAAAGAAAGAAAAGGAAAGAAAGAAAGAAAGAAAAAGAAAGGAAGGAAGGAAGGAAGGAAGGAAGAAAGAAAGAAAGAAAGAAAGAAAGAAAGAAAGAAAGAAAGAAAAAGAACCTGGACTGTTACTCACCCATGCAGCAACTTTACGAAACAGATGAAAAATCGATACAGGAAGGCTAGGTTGCTTCTACATAGTGACATGCTGGGCTGGCAGCCTCACCACAGAGCAGACCCCGCCTACCTTTCCAAACAAGGGACATGCGCACTTGCCCTTGATAACTCTTGCTGCTTGTTCGCCATCAGGTAACTTATTCTTAGAATTCCAAGAGGAGTTTGAACGAGTCTATAAAATCTACTGTGCCAACTACGACCAGGCCCTGCTGCTGGTCAAGGCATACCAGAAGGAGCCGGAACTACAGAAGTCGATCCAGGGCATCATCGAAGCAGCAGTGTGAGTAACATGTCCAGAGACAACCAAGTTTTGATCCTGTTCAGGTCTTCTCAGGCTGCTTTGGGCCTCTGTCTGTCTGTC